TCTCTCTCTCTCTCTCTCTCTCTCTCTCTCTCTCTCCTTCCTGATCACCATGTGAGCTGCTTCCTTCTGCCACACCCTTCCACCATGATGGCCTGCCTCACCTGGAGTCCCAAGGAATGGAGCCTGCCTCTTATAGACTGAAACTTCTGGAACCATGAGCCAGGAGCCCCCCTGTAAACCTCCCTGCTCTATAATTGTTCTGGTTGGATCTTTTCGTCACAGCAGTGAAAAGCTGACTACACCTCCTTAAGTCCGCCTTCGGCTACAGCAGCTTCTCGCAGGCGGGGTTTGGGGACAGTGGTGGAGAGCGGGAGCCACAGCAGGTCCACTCCCTCCCTGGGAGCAGTGTGACTTTCCACACCAGGTCCTGGTTTAGTGCCACCAGCATGGCCCCAGGGGCCTGAGCTTCCTCACCAGGGACAGCTGCTCTCGGAGCTGGACGACCACCCGTTTGTGTGCCCCGGCCAGGGCGATGAAGTAGAACATGACGAGGCTGCAAGGCAAGATGACAGGTCAGGGGACGCCCGCCCCTTCTTTTCTTTTGCTTCCCAGTCATCACGAGGTCTACCGACTTCCTCTGTCACATGCTTCGGGCCTGATGTACTGTGCCACCGCAGGCCCAAAGCAACAGGGCCAAGTCACCATGGACTGAAACCATGAGACAAAATGAACCTTTCCTCCTTTTTAAGTTGATTACCTCAGGCATTTTGTCCCAGGAATGGAGAGCTGACTAACACACTCTCCATTTCCCAGTGGGGGAGCCACGCGCTTCAGTGGGAGAGAACTCTCCAGGGTCGGGGCGGTTCTCACTCACCAGATGATCATGAAGAAAGGCACCGCAAAGGCTTCAGACGTGATGCCATGGACCAGGGACTGCAGCGAGCTGGGGAAGGTGCTCACCGTCCGCGGGACGACATCCCACGTGGTGTTGAAGCTGGTGAACGGCCCACAGGCTTTTGAGGAAGGGATGCTGCAGAACACGAGCCAGAGGGCTCAGGGCCAGGCTTGCAGCACAGGCCGCGTCCCACTGCTGGACACCCTTGTAAACCAAGGCCTCAGAGGAAGTGCCTCACCCCTAGGCCTTCTGGAATATTCTGGTCAAAAGTGCTTACCATCAAATTTTCATCAAGTTTCTAGGTCTAATTGCTAGTTTAAAGAATGTTCAAGAAAGAAGAACAAGTGAAATGTCTTGTAGGAAAATAACCAGACAAGTCCAGAATGTGGGGATTCTACTCTCCAACCTATAACTCGACTCTGATAAAATTGGTCTTAACTGTTCAAAGACTAAGTTAAAGCAGGCGTAACAACTGAAAGCAATGTGCGAAACTTGAAAGATCAGTATTTTAAAAGCAAATTTTTTTGGGGGGTTACTGGGAATTGAACTCAGGGGCACTCGAACACTGAGCCCCATCCCCAGCCCTATTTTGTATTTTATTTAGAGACAGGGTCTCACTGAGTTGCTTAGCACCTCGCTTTTGCTGAGGCTGGCTTTGAACTTGTGATCCTCCTGCCTCAGCCTCCAAGCTTCTGGGATTACAGGCATGCACCACCATACGTACCCAGCAGTATTTTAAAAATAAAGCTAGAAAAGATAATTTTGGAACAGTTTGAAAAATTTGAAAATGGCAGGAATGTTAGTATTAAGTTAATTAAGTGTAATAATGTTACTGGGTGTACACATAAAGGAAAATGTCCTTGTTCTTGGGGGCTCACATGCTGAAGCTTTTAGTGGTGAGATAGCATGGTGCTCATAACTTCACTTCAAATCATACATCATTAAAAAACAAAAATTATGTAGGGGAAAAAATACAGCAAAATGTTAACTGGGACAGTCCATTGAAAAGAATATGCATTTCCCTGTTGCTATTTTTTTTCAGCTTTTCCATAGATTTGACAGTTTTCAAAACAAAAAGCGGAGAAAAGAAATGTCAAATGCACTCTACACTCATGTCTATCTAAAAAGAACAAATTTTTAAAATTACAATGGAAAAACAGTCAAATGAAGACCTGAAAGAAAGGCCCACATTTATATCACAGACGGTATATGTAAAATTGTTCATTGCTGCCCTGTTTTTTTTTTTTTTTAACTTTTTATTTATTTACGTGGTGCTGAGGATTGAACCCAGGCCTCATGTATGCAAGGCAAGCGCTCTACTACTGAGCTACAGCCCCAATCCCTGCTGCCCTGTTTTTATGGGTAAAAATAAATGCCTGGAAACAATCCAACTGCCATTTAAGAAAGTGGATGAACTTATGGTCCATTCATAGGGATGGATACTAGAGAATCACTGAGACAGAGAGAGAGAGAGAGAGAGAGAGAGAGGGAGGGAGGAGGCGATTTCACAGAGGGACGATTGTTTCCCAGGGAAACGAATCAGCTTGGAAACAGTGTTAGAAAATTAATTCCACCATAGATTCTTTTGCGCTTCTTAAATACTGTCCGGTGTGAATGCATTTATCATAAAAAAAAATCAAAGCTAAAATCTTATTTAAAAGAATAAGTGGCAATTTTTCTCTCCAAGTTGTGTCTTCTGCACTCTTTAAATGTTTTAATATAACATGACTGTCATGCAAAAATCAAGGCAAATATAGAATTAAACTGCCAAAAAACTTTTTTAAAAATCTGAGAGCGGGACCCAAAGCTTTATAGTCTTTTAATTTAAAGAGATGAAACAGAATTCCGTGAGCACTGAAGGCAGGGATTGGCAAACTATAGCCCATGGGCCAAATCTGGCCCGCCACCTGTTTTTTTTTTTTGTTTGTTTGTTTGTGTGTTTTTATAAATAAAGCTTTATTGGAACCCAGGCATTCCTGTTTGTTTATATAGGATCCATGATCCAGCAGAGTAGTTGCTGAGACCACGTGGTCTGCAAAACCTGGATTGTTTACTCCCTGACCCTTTCTAGAAAGTCTGCTGGCTTCTGGTGTAGGCGGTCCCCACACACAGAGCCACATCACCGAGGTTCCAACTCTCAGCTTGGGATCCTGAGTCCAGAGCATTTCTCTCTTCCCCAGTTCCACACTAGATTCTCCTCTGCCTGTGTCCTTAAGGTCTTCGTAACCTCGCATCCAGCTCAACACCTGGCGTGCAGGAGGGAGACCCCCTCCCTCAACCAGCCTGGCAGGAGGGGGAGCACCTTGCTGCTCCTCTCTGCCTCTCCCGACCCGCCAGGTCTTCTCAGTGACCACACATGACTTTGACAATCAGAAATGATCCAAAAGGGGACCAGAAGAGAGGTCCTTGGGAAAGGGTAGCAAAGACCCAACTGGCTTTCACACAAATGATGCCCATGCTCTATGCCAAGTTCCAGAATTGGACCAGGACCCTCCAGGGCCCAGAGGGAGGTTCTGAGAGGAGGCGGGTCCCTGGAGAAGCCAAGAGAGGGGGGGCTCACTGACCTCTGCAGGTGGACACCGTGAGAAGAACCAACAAAGAAAGCAGGGGACCCTTGAACACGTACGACAAAGCAAGGGAAGGTTCTAGAAAACCAAGTCACACTTACCGGGACATGCTGATCGTCAGAGGTATTATCGCCAAACACAGCCCAATCAACAACACCAACAGGAAGAAGAAATTGGAATTGGACGCTCTGAATTGCCGTGGGGAGGGTCTGCAGGTATAAAGAAGACTCAACTAAGGGGAAAAAAAGGAAAGAAAAAGTTAAGGAGCAATCAGCACCCGCGAGAGTCAGTGAGCACATTACGCATTACGGTGGGCATGAAAATTAGTCTCCTCTTTCTAGAAGAGACTTTTGCGATATAAATCTTAAAGCAAAATGTTTCATCCAGACTCCAGCCTTAGGAATCTCATGCTGATGAAATAGGAAAAATGGGCCAAACACCCGTATGTGGAGGCTGATTGCTGCCCTTAATTACGGAGAACAACCGGAAGCATCCTGAATATCTATCAGTGGGTATATTCTCCATACAGTGAAATACCATACAGTCCTTAAAAAGGGTGAGAGAACATTACATTACTCATGAGACACTATGAAATAAAAATGGCAGACTTCAGAACTTTACATGGTATGAACTCATTTAGGCTTTTAAAGGATTCATCCTTTATAGGAATTTAAATTTGTATAAATGGGTCTCTAATAATAGCTACCAAATTAAGAATTATTTTGCTTACAATTTTTTTTTCATGCACATATAATTTTCCTCATATTAAAAGTAAATATTTTGGGGCTAGGGATGTAGCACATTGGTAGAGCATTTGCCTAGCGTGTACAAGGCCCTGGGTTCCATCCCCGACACTGATGGGGAGAAGGGAATGGTCCAGGGTGTGAGCCCCCTACTCTCACCTCCCCTTACCTCTTTCACGTAAAAGATAATAATGAATTTCAAGGTTGCAATTGCAGGAAGAAGGGGTGAGAAAAAGGCTCCGATCCAGCAAATGGTCTGCCCGTACACGATCCCCAGGACATTATCGGGAATGGCAAATTCCTGCTGTCCCCAGCACTGAATCAGCTTCCAAGAGGAGCAGTGGGTCACCAGGAGCCTGGAAACAAACCAGAGAATTTGTGCTGAGCCTCTGCACAAAAGGACCCTCCCCACTAGCAACACCACTCCTCAGGACCCTGGAGGCTGCCTGTAGAGACCACAGGCCCAAGGACCTGAGATCAACACACACAGCTGCTCCCTGCGCCACGGCTGTGCATTATTAGCGAAAGTACCAGAAACAACCAATGCCCACCAGCAGGAGCTGGGTTTATAAATGAGAAGCCATGGACGCAGTGAAATGGACATTCTCTAAAATGGATGAGAGAATCCTCATGATTGACAGGGAATGTTGTCCATGATATTTTGTTTGTATGAGGGCTGGGAGGTGGGGAGCAAGATGCAGGCCAACATGAGTGACACGGGATTCCCTTTGGGAAGGGGGACAAAAATATTTCTTCCAATAAGACTATGCTTCTAAGCTGGGGACGTAGCTCCGTGGGGGCCACGTGTCTAGCATGCACAGGTCCTGGGTGCAAACTTTAGTACTGAAAAAGAAATTTAAAAAGACTGTATATATTCACACACACTTAAGAAGCTATGTGTTTTCACATATTAGAACTGACCCATCCTCCTTCAAAGTATTAACAATGGCCACCCTCAGAGGAGAGGGTAAGATTGGGGAAGCAGGGGTTACAGTCATGAAAAAACTCCCATATTCTCCAGACTCCTATATTTGTTTGTTTATTTATTTTGGAAGAAGGGATTGAATTCAGGGCCACTCGTCCCCTGGGCCACATCCCCAGACCTGTTTTATATTTTATTTAGAGACAGGGTCTCACTGAGTTGCTCAGCACCTCCCTTTGCTGAGGCTGGCTTTGAACTTGTGATCCTCCTGCCTCAGCCCCCCCCCAGCTACTGGGATGACAGGTGTATTCCACAGCAACCAGCTTGTTTAATTTTAATAAGTAGATATTTATTATATCCATATATTTTTTCAAAGTTTCTCTTTTTTAATGCTTATTCTTAAGGTCGCACTGGCCCTCTGGCCCAAGCTAGAATTTTATGCACGTGTGGTTCAGTGAACAAAGGTACCCCTGACCTAAGACACACTAAGGACCATAAAAATGACATCGCATTCATGAAAGTCACAAGGGCAGTGCTGAACGCTGTGGTGGGTTCTGGGCCGTGGAGTGTCCTCAGGGCTTCCGTCTGTCTGTATTATCTCATTTAACCCTCACCGCCAGGTTGTCCCTGGGGTCCTTCTTCCACCCCCATAGATCACAGGTGGGAAGCAGGCGGCTTAAGTTGCGCAGGGTCACGTGACGAGTGCTGGGGTTTGAATCCACATCAGGAAACCCCATCTCCACGGCAGCCTGGGGGTCTACACTGATGGAGCTTCCAGAAAGAAGACCCCTCAGGGAAGACTCAGAAAATGTCACCTTTCCACCCTCAGTGCCACCTTAGATGGGGCAGTTAGCAGGAGCCAGGGCATCCATCACGGCTCCCTGGTTTTCAGTGGTCCTGGGGCCGTGCAGTCACCCAGCGGCCTCTAGGGGGCAGCTGTGAGGGACGTGTCCGACGTGGGGAGAGCTGTAGGAGGGGACCCCTCACTTACTTTCTTGGGAAATCTACAAAGATGGTCACAGCCAAGATCATGATGAAGTCGAAGATCATCAGCTTGTACATTTCCTGCCCAACTTGGGTCTCCCAGCACTGAAACCAGAGAGCAAGAGACACTGAGCGGCCCTGTTTGGGGCAGAGGGAGGCAGGCCACCAGACCCCTGCCCCTCGAGATCCTGCTGCCCACGGGCTCCAGCACAAACCTGGGTGACCAAGCCCCTGAACGCGTGGGGCAAGGCGCAGACCTGCCTTGAGACTAGAGTTAGAGGGAGGAGCAACCTCGAGTTCAGCTTCGAGGGCTGCACTCTTGACCACGACCCTATGGCCAAGTGACACCCCCGTCCGGCAGGTTGCTGCCACCCCCAGGGCTCACCGGGTAGAGCTTCTGGTTGTAGCCACAGAGTTCACACAGGGTGTCGTTATCACAGGACGTGATCTTGGAGCCCAGGGTGAACACCAGCACACAGATGGTGGCCAGTCGCATGAAGACACACCTTCACGGAGGAGGAGAGAAAAGGGGACAAGGAGGGCCTCAGATGGGGCAGGCTGAGAGGACCTGGGGTTACAGAAGGCAGAGGCCACCTTTTATTTATGTATTTATTTTTTGGTACCAGGGATTAAACCAGAGGCGCTTTACCCCTGAGCCACATCCCCAGCTCTTTTTACTTTTATTACGAGACAGGGTCTTGCTAGTTTGTTGAGGCTGCCTTCAAACTTGCAATCCTCCTGCCTCAGCCTCCCAAGTTGTTGGGATTACAGACAAGGTGCCACCAGGCCCGGCCACAGGCCACCTGCACATGGACACAGAGGTTCTGTTGGAGGTGATGAAAAAGTTCTGGAGATGAACAGTGATGATGGGAATGGACTTAAAGCCATTGAAGTGTGCACATTAAAACGGCAACTTTGATACCATCGATCATCTACTACCTTTTTTTAAAAGGCAAAAAATAAAAAAAGAGACAGCTGGGAACTCATGATCTCTGGTGAGGCCGTCACACAACAGAACACTACACATTCCTGAAAAGGAGGAATCGAATCTTTCTGCACGGGCTCTGAGGGACATCCCATAGAGGGAAGTGGAAAAAAGCTAACTCTAGAGTGTCACGTGGACAGGATCCTATTTTTCAAAGCTAAAAATAAATGTTGGTACAAACTGCAGGAACCATAGGAATGAATGCACAATGACACTGGCCGTTCCCATGGGTTCCTGGAAGAGTTGGATTCATGGGGGCGAGAGGAGAATCATATCTCTCTCTCTGTCTCTCTCTCTCTCTCTCTCTCTCTCTCTCTCTCTCTCTCTTTAGGATGCTTCTCTACTATTTGGTTTGTAATTAAATTAAATAGAAATATTCAAGTGGGGGAGGGGTAAAAAGCATCCCCACACCTCGCTGGCTCACCTCCCTCATTCCTAAGCAGGTCCCACCCCTGACCTGTGCCTGCAGGTGACTTGCATCAGGTGGGAACACCTGGCACCTGGACTTTCCTAACACCAACCTGCAATGGGACCCTGGTGGCACCTGGCTGCGCAGCAGTTCACAGCCTCTCTGGGCACGGAAAGCCACGCGGAGCTCACCATGACCAGGCGACAAACAAAACTCAGACGTCAGGGGCATTCCACAGCGCAGATGACCCCCGCCCCCATCCTCCCAAGGTCGAGGGCGGAGCCGTGAGAAGGAACCACGCGCAGGCGCAGAGGCGATGTGAACAGGCGCCTGCGGCTCCATGAGGGGGAGGGGGACGGCTCAATTGCAAGAGGTGCGACAATGCTCAGGTTAAAACCAGTCCCCGTCACCCGGAGGGCTGCTGAGGTGTTCACAGGGGAGGGGACAGGACATGTCGTCTGAGATTTGCTTAAAATAATTGAGCAAAAGTGAGGCAAATGGATGAAGCAAGATGGGCAAAAGGTGGGAACGGCTGGAGCTGACCGACGGGCAGAGGGGCGCTCATGATACCATTTATTCTGTTTGAAAATGTCCAAAATATAGTTTTTTGAGATTGAAAATGCAATTTCAGGGATTTTGAAAAGGAGAAAGAAAATTCTCCCATTTCACACATTTCCCCCACCACCACCATCTGAGTGACCTTCAAGGACTCTGCCTCATGTAAACTGTCAATTCTGAGATATTCACAGCAGTGACTCCTCCTAGGGTCCCATCCTGTCAACACATGGACCGAAAGTACAATGCTGATGGGTAGACTCTGAAGTCAAAGAGGTTTCACTGCACGGACAAATTCATTCCTTCATGAAGATTAAGGAGGACCCAGCTCAGCAGGAACATGTACCACCACCGATTGGCATCGTCTGCCACGGCAAGTCGGTGGCCTGCCCAGCTTGCCCACCAGCATTACCTCAGAATGGTCAGCCGGATCTCAAAGCCTGGGGAGTAGTCCTCGTAGTGGATGATCTTGGCGAAGATGATGGGGGTGATAAAATTGGCCAGCGTGATCACAATGGAAGGTAGGTACAATATCAAAAGGTTCTCTCCAAAAACCATCTTGTCAATTTCCTAGAAAGAGGATCAACCCTACTGGTCAGTAATATGATAAAAGACATGGCAACGTGGTCAATTGAAAAAACTCAACTATGTCTACTGGGCACACAAACAGAAGGGACCTGCCCTTCCACACGGCCTGTAAACACAAGCCGTCTCCTTCCTTTGGTGTTCAGATGCCTAGTGCCATGCCAGAAGAAAAACGAGCGCTACTGGACGTGCTAAGGAAAAGTACTTTTAAAAAAAATCCAGGTATTCTGCAATTTAAAATATTTTCAAGGATGCAGTACTGATTGGAACTGTAACAGCCGCTTTCTCCTTCTTCCCTAGTAACAGGTTCCTTGGCCACCTGCGCAGGTGCAGCTGTCCAGGACAAAGATGAAATTGCAGCAGGGTGCAGTGGCGCACGCCTGCCATCCCAGAGACTCGAGAGGCTGAGGCAGGAGGATCGCAAGTTTGAAGCCAGCCTCAAAATAAAGAATAAAAAAAAGGGCTGGGGATGTGGCTCAGTGGGAAAGCACCCCTGGGTTCAATCTCCAGAACCAAACAAATAAACAAACAAAAAACCACCTCAATGGCTTAGGCGTCCTCAAAGCTAGGTGCAGCCACGTGATTAAACTCTGGCCAAGGAAGAGGAGTGGAAATTTTAAGTGCAACTCCAGGTAGTGACCCTGAAGGTGCACTCTCCCCAGCTCCTTCTCTCTCTTCCCTCTGGCTAGACTGTGGATGTGGTGGGGCGCTATCTGAACATGCAGAGGAGGACCACACCCCCTGGATGGGAGAGCCACCAGGTGGATGGCCCTGGGCCCTGATGATTGATTTCACAAAACAGAGCTGCTAGACCAACTTGGACTCTGTGTGTGTGTGTATATATGATTGTGTGTGTTACTAAAGGGACGGAACCCAGGAGCGTTCTGCCTCTTAGCCACACCCCCAGGCTTCTAAATTTTATTTTATTTTGAGACAAGGTCTTACTATGTTGTCCAAACTGACCTCAAACTTGAGATCCTCCTGCCTCAGCTTCCCTTGTAGGTGCGATTATAGATCGACCACTCAGGTTTGCAAGTCACATAATGCCCCACACCAGGGCACCCAGAGTGCACATTAAATCGACTCTTGTGGAGGGGGGGGGCTTACCTTCTTCATGTGTTCTTGGGAGAAGATAGTTGCTATGTAGATGGCATAGAAGCATGCTGCTAAAACAGCCAGAACAATACAGTTCAAAAACAGTCTCAAAGAGTAAATGCGTATCGTTTCTTCTGAGGTCCTTTCTGCTATTTTCTGCCGTATTCTTTCTTCCTCTAGATCCGCCTGAGGACCAGAGAAAGCTCATTTGTGAGCACTGGGACATAGAGATATTAGGGAATGGATACAGTGATACCCTCCCCATCCATTGACAACTTCCTTTAAATATTCACAGCCCCGAAGACACCTTCCCAGACTAAGCCCAGCTACATTTTATGTCTATTAATGGCCTATGTCAAGGTAGAGGCCTTTTATGTAAGACAGAAATTAGGCTTCACAAGATATATGTAAACTAAACCATTAATTTATTAATGACATTACTTTTATTTCTTTAAACAGCACATAGGTGGATGCTGTTTTTTAGGTCCATCTGGTAGTCTCCAATTTCAATAGGAAAATTTGATGTGTTCATATTTAGTGTAAGAAATAAATTGGATTTTATTCCTGCCCCTTTTACCTTATTGAGCTTTTGGTTTTGGCTTGTCCCACCTTCCATTTTTTGGGGTGGATTTTACCAAAATATTCATCATCACTCCTTTTCTCCTTCTTAATTTGGAAATTCTCTTGTACTTTCTCATAATCTCTCCACTCTACCCTATCATTATAGCATTCCCTCCTTCATCCCATTTCTTGGCACATAGATGACAGGCTTTCATCAAGTGGGGAAATAACAGTGTCAGGTACTAGGGAAGAAATCCACTGATCCCTGCCTTCCTTCCTAGCCCCCATTCACCAGAACCCCTGTGTGGGTTGAACGTAATCAACCCTGATGAGCCGTTTGCTGCCAAGAGCCTTGGTCATGACAGACGGGAAGCAGGCTAAGCACCTGAGACAGGTGGGCCCCCGTATGGATCCTCTAAAAGCTGCAAACAGCCTCCCAGGGCTTGACCTGGCTGATGAGGACCCCCCAGGGAAACCCGGCAGCACTCACTCGGAGCTCGTACCGCAAGCTGCTGTGTTTCAGGTCGGCCATGCTGCGGTTGGTGATGCAGAAGTCCCAGCCGGCAAAGATCTTGTTGCAGTAACTCTGGAAGTGCTCCTCACTCCGGATCAGGTTGATTTTGAACCCTTCCACCGACCTGACCCCCAAACACAAACATCCTCCTTACAACAGCTGCCGCCAAATACAGGCCCATGAATACAGCGCTTCATCCAAAATGAGAAATAAGAAGTTGGACATGGCTGTCCTGGGGGCCCATCTTGATAAGGTCAAATTCTGGACCATTCTAAATGTACGTCACAGCTGACCACGTAGACCATTGTTGAAAATAGTCTTATTTTATACATCTAGTAAATTCTATCATCTAGTAGCTTTTATATATCTACTTCGAGTAAAGTTAAACTTTTTTTTTTTCTTTTTTTCTGTTGTGGTGCTGGGGCTTGAACCCAGGGCCTTGTGCATGCGAGGCAAGCACTCTACCAACTGAGCTACGTCCCCAGCCCCCAAAGTCCAACTTTCTGCCACGGCCTATAGATGTGACATGACCTAGTTCTACAATCTCTCCGATCATGGCCACTCTGTTATAAAACCGCCATGGTTTCCTTTCCTTTCCATAAACACAGGAATCCCTCTCCTCCTCTTGCCTCGGGGGCTTGGCTCTTAGAAGTTCCCAGAACTCTCTCCAGGGTTCTTCCCAACTCTTCCCATGGCTGACTCCTTCCTATCAGCCATAATTTGGATCTAGAGTGTCCCTCGGAAGCTCATGTGCTGCTTGGTCCCAAGTCCCTGGAGCTACTGGGAGGTGGAACCTTGAAGAGGTGGAGCCCAGTGGAAGGAGGTTAGGTCACTGTCCACCATGTGCTCCCACCGTGATGTCCCGAACTGCCACAGACTCCAAGCAACAGGGCCGAACAACCATGGACCAACGCCTCTGAAAACCATGAGCCAAAACAAACCTTTCCTCCTTTGAAGTTACCTATCTCAGGTATTTTTTTTTTTTCACAGTAAGAGAAAACTGACTAATGCATCATCCTTCAGATTTCAGTTCAAATGTCCTGTGATTCCTAATCTCCCCATCTAAAGTTGTGATCCCCATGTCACATTGGTCCCTTTTATTTCCAGTGAACCTAATGTGCAATTTGCCTGTTTATCTGTTTATTGTTTACAGTTCGTTACTCCGAGTAAGTTTTAAATTCCTTGAAGGTAGGTGTCCTGGCTGTCTCGACACATTTATATCCACCATGCCAGGACCTTACTTTAGCTAACTGATGGATAAATGAATGAATAAATGATTTAAATAGTCAATAAGGCAAACACCAAGTAGCACACACCGTCCTCGCAGATGAAACGCCTGTCGTTTAGGATTTCTTAGGGAGGCATAAAGAGCAACAGAAATGGAAGGGATGACCATGGTGGGTCATTCTGCCAAAGAATCACAGCAAAGAATTTGCACCAGAACCACTTGAGGTGCTTTCCCCGAAATGTACGTTCCTAAGGTTTGCTAATTAAGTAAGTCTCATGTCGGCTCCAGAAATACACCTCTATTGGGTTGGGACCATTACACCTTGTGGGCCAGTTGTTGACTGAATAACTAAAGGAATTGATATTCCTATCCTTTCTTGGGAATTGCTCTCACTAAGCCACTTGGAAAATGCCATGCTGTCCTACAGTTCCAGTCCCCCTGGCCACAGTGGACAGGTCAGAAGCCGGGGCACTTGAATCAATGGTGGCCCATCACAGACAGTCTGATTACAAATGGCCATCAATGGAGGGTTACAATTAGGCACCCAAATGAAAAAGGGTCAATAAGTCTCTTCAAAGAATTTCTACACCTGTGACCCAGGGCGTCAGAGGTCAATGGAAACCGAGACACCCTCTCTCGCGCCACTTAAGAAAGCTGCCACCACACAAGAGACCCAAAGATGAGGGAGCCTTTGTTTTTGTTACTATCCTTCCTGTAAATGAGTTTCTTGCCCTCCTTGGTTCCCAAGATGCCACTCAATTCCCCTCTGTCCCAGTGAGCCAGAGTTGGGTTTCCGCCATTTGCAATCCAATGGACGTGGAATTGCCAGATGTGTCCAGTAACAACTGACTGAAGAACTGCAGGCAGCTACTCAGGCTCCCCAATCCTGACTTCCTTTTCCTCCAGGGCTTCCCTACAAAGCCCAACCCAGACTCTGCTCATCTTTTGGACAACAGAGTCCACAGAGTCCTAAGAGACTCCAGCCACCAACAGTAATTCTTAGTTTTTTTTTTAAAGGCAAACGACAGGGTAAACTTACCTTTTCACGATCCAAAGGAGGCTCAGGGCCAGGTAGGCAATTGTGCTTATCAAGTAAGCCAAGGGCAGGTCATAGGTGAAGTTCTGGAACTTTATACCATGGATGGTGTAATGTCCATAAAAGAGGCTGGTCTCCTCCAAGAAACCCTGAAATCAATTCAAGGACATGAGGTTGGCCTGGTGAGCTCAGGGCAAGCAATCAGAAGAGGAGCTTCTGACTCAAGGAACTCACATTCCATGTCTTTGTTCATGTCTATATCCCTAGACATCGGAAGAGCCCCCAGGAGACTAGGGGGTCCTCAGTTAGTGTCTGGGGAATAAGGCAAAACCCAAGCATAAAAATATGGGGTGAGTCATTCACATTAAATTAAGAAAATAGTTCCATGTGCCACAGAACCAAAAAGAAAAAAAATTAACATAAGTGCAAATCTTTTTTTTTTTTTAAAGATAGAATGAGGCGGGGGGGAGAGAGAGAGAGAGAGAGAGAGAGAGAGAGAGAGAGAGAGAGAGAGAAAGAGAATTTTTTAATATTTATCTTTTAGTTATCGGTGGACACAACATCTTTGTTTGTATGTGGTGCTGAGGATCGAACCCGGGCCGCACGCATGCCAGGCGAGCGCACTACCGCTTGAGCCACATCCCCAGCCCAATAAGTGCAAATCTTATACTCTGAATACTATAAATCATTGTTGGGGGAAAAAAATCAAAGTAAACAGGAAAACATCCCATGTTCATGGATCAGGAGATCCATGATAATACTCTATAAAAGGATCTACAGATACAACACAAACCCTGTGGAATCCCAGCTGGCTTCTCTGTAGAAATTGGCAAGCTGATCTTACAGTTTACAGGAAGCTGCAAGAGACGAAGAACAATCTTGGGAAAGAAAGAACAAAACTGGAGGACTCAGGTGTTCCCACTTCCAAACTTACTACAGAGCAACAGTGACCACGACGGTGCAGCACTGGCAATAAGAATAGACACGTTCATCAACAGCCCAGACCTGGAGTTCAGAAATGAACCGATATATCTACAGCCAGTTGATTTTTTTTTTAAAGGGGAAACAGCAGTCTTTTCAATGAATCACACTGAGACCATGAGCTAATCACATGCAAAAGAATGAAGTTGGACCTCGACCTCACATTGCATATGAAGATTAGCTTAAAATGGACCAAAGGAAAGAGCCCAAGCCATGAAGTGTTTAGAAGACAACAGAGAACTGAATCTTCATAACCCTGAACAAATGATAGCAAATGCGATATGACTCAGTCTTGGGAAGGCAGGAAATCCTACATGCTACAACTCACACAAACCTTAGGGACATTATACTCAGTGAGAAAATCCAGTCACAAAAAGACAAGGGACTGCAGGATTCCTGATCGAATGAAGTCTCTAGAGTAGTCAAATTCACAGACTCACAAAGTATAATGGTAGATCCCAGGGACTTGCGGGGAGGGGGAAGGGGCAATTGTTTAATGAATATAGAATTTCAGATTTGCAAGATGAGAAAGTTGGTAGAGATCTGTTGTGTAACATTGTGGATAACCTTGACACTTCCGCATTTACACTTAAAAGTGGTTAAGATGGTGAGTTTTCTGCTATGTGTTTACCACGATAAAAATTAAAATCCTCATGCCTTAGATTTAGCAATGAATGTTTAAGGACACCCAAAGCACAAGCAATAAAAGAAAAAAAAACATAAATTTTAAAAATTCACCAGCAAAATTAAAAACATTTATGCTTCAAGAGTTGTACCTAGCATATCTAAAGAACTAATAACTTGGGGCTGGAGTTGTGGCTCAGCGGTAGAGCACTTGCCTCACATGTGTGAGGCGCTGGATTCGATCCTCAGCACTACATAAAAACAAATAAACAAAATAAAGGTGCTGTGTCCATCTACAACTAAGAAAAAATACACTTTGAACATTGTTTAAAAAAAATCCATAACTCAACAATCAAAAGACAGATAATCCAATTTTAAAACAAGCAAAGAATCCAAATAGATGCTTTTCAAAAAAAAAAGATACAGAAATGGCCACTGAGCTCATGGAAGGATGCTCAGTGTTATCAGTCATGAGGAAAATGCAAATAAAATCCACAAAGAGATACCACTTCACATAATCTAAGATGGCTAGGATGAGAAGGTCAGATAAAGACAAGTGTTGATAAGGATATGGAGAAACTGGAATGCTCATGCGCTGCTGGGAAGAATGCAAAGTAGAGTAGGTAGCTTGGAGGAGGGGCAGTTTCTCAAAATGCTGAACCCAGGGTTACCATGGGACCCAGTGGTTCCATTCCTTGGGTATCTACCCAAGAGGAATGAAGGCATATGTCCACACGATGGCAGCACTGTGCATAGCAGATCAAAGATGGAAACAACTCCAACATCCATCCTGAGCAGATGCACACCATGCAGACTTCCTCCATAGACACATCCTCCAACAGGATATTGCACCAGGAAAAGGAACAAGGTACTGACCTCTGCAGCCTGCATGAACCTTGAAAATGTGACAGCAAGTGAAAGAAGCCATTCACAGAAGGCCACATAGTATATGATTCCATCTGTTTATTTTTTGTTCTGTGTAATTTTTTTTTTTCTTTTCAGTTCTGGAGATTGAACCCAGAACTCTGTAAATGCTAGGCAAACCCTCCACCACTGAGAAGATTCCAAAATAGGCATTTTTGAGACAGAACTATATTAAAAACTGCCCAGGGCTGATTTGGAGTCTGGGAGGTAATAGCTAGGAGGTATGGGCTTTCTTTTGAGGTAATGAAAAGGCTCTAAAATTGGCTGTGGTGATCATAGCATGCCTCTGAATATACTGAAAACCATTCAACTGTATGTTTGAAGTGACTGAATTATAGGGCAAGTGGATGTTATCTCAATGCAACTTAAGAAAAAAAAACAGGCTTGGGGGTATAGCTCAGTGGTAGAGGCCTTGCTTAGCATGCAAAGCTCTGCAACAACAAAAAAAATAAAACAAGGATTTATTTTCCAACCCCAAAGGTATCCTTTGTAAAAAACAGCACAGAAGATTCTTCTTATGGTGTGAAGGAAGGGACACCTCAGATAGCTCCGTGGGTGGCAGGGACATGCCAAGGAAGGGAAGAGGCCACACACAAGGAAAGTAGGAACGGGGCAGGCAGCAGAGAGATGTTCCCCACGGCGTGTTTACCAAGGGGGAAAAAATGAGGCGACCTGATATCCATCAACAGGGGACGTGAAAAATCCATACCACAAAACAGCAAGCAAGACCATGAAGTGAGGTGCGCTCAGTGGTGCACAGCAGGTAATCCCAGCAGCTCGGGAGGCTGAGGTGGGAGGATCTCGAGTTCAAAGCCAGCCTCAGTTCAAAGCCAGCCTGAGCAACTCAGCAAGGCCCTGTCTCTAAGCAAAATACAAAAATAGGACTGGGGATGTGGCTCAGTGGTTAAGTGCCCCTGGGTTAAATCCTTGATACCAAAAAAGAAGACCCTGAAGTGTATAAAGATCGGGGAGAGGGCAAACCCTGGTGTGGAAGGTCTGCTGCCCTCTGGTGGCGGGGGGAGGCACTTTCACTCTGTATACATTCTTTTTCCCAACAACTATGCAGCAGTCTCACATTATCTAAGTTAATTAAGTAAATCTTCTAATAGAAACAAAAGTACACATTCTCTTCTCCTCTCCCAAAGCCTTGGCACACAGACCATAAAAAACTTAACCCAACTACATAAATCCTACAGGGCAAAAGTCCCCAGGGCCTGGAAATATAAGATTTATTTCATCTGGAGCCAAGGGATTGGCCTGGGATCGATAAACATTTAAGGGATTTCCAGGGATCTGAGTACGTCCACACGTGTGCACCATGTGTGTGTGTGCCTGTGACGGGCAGGTGGCCACGTGTGCTCTGAGTCTGCGAATCACACGTCTCCTTGTGGGGCTTCTGGGTACAGGAGCCTCAGCCTCAGCCACGCCCTGAACTTTCCAGGGTCAGAGGGATCAATCGACTCTCTCCAGCTCCGTTCTCTCTGAACCTTCTTTCTGCCTCTTGTTGTAGGTCAATATGAAGGTGTCAGGGACAGGGGGAAAAGGACACGTGGGTTCCAGCAGGTCACCACGCATCCTGCTTCTTCCACCGGGTGAGGCGTCCACGCGGGTGTTTGGCTCTCACCGTGGACATGCAGGAAACCGAGCTTTGCATCAACTCCCTTCTAGCACTTGGAAGGGTCCAAAGGAAGGTTGGGTTAAATACTCACAGTGCCGGAAAGCAAGTCTATGATGTAACTGTAAAAGTAGATAAGTCCAGAACTACTTATGGGGTATATGGTACACTGGATATCTGCAAGACACAAAAGCAAGAAGGTCGGTTGGCGACAGTCTGCGGTCTCTGGGACTCCTTCCTCTGTGGCAACTTGTGTGCATCAGCACGTAACTGTGCACATTTCGGAGATTTGCATATCTGTGCATGCAAGTGTGCATACCAAAGCATCTAAATACAATAATATTTATTTTTATTTCTATTTTTCTTCTGCTTCTCTTTCTAAAAGTTCCTTCACGATTCTTCCTGGACTTTGAGGCCATGTGTCTTTTCTGTGCATTTTGTACTGAGTTCACATTCAGAACACTTTCTGCTTGTGTGTCTTGTGCTTCCGTGTTCATGTGTGTACGTGCTTTGAGATAATGATTGACAGAACTGTTATCCCATTTTAAGCACAGCTGATATATAAGATCTTTTACATCTGTATCATCCCTTCAGTTTCATTAAAAATGCATATATTTACATATCTATAATTATTCAACAGAATCTTAGCACCAGTTTTAGTGATACTACCGTATGCTCGGACCACTCCCTCCCTCCCCTGATGCATGTGTCAGCTACCACTGCATAACAAATGATCTCAGTGACCAAAAAAGTCAAAAGTTTGTTGTCTCACTTGTGGGCTTGCAGCTGCAGTTCATTTAGCTGATTTAGGCTGAGCGTTTGTGGGGCTCAGATCTATTCCTCAGAACCTCACTCTGGGGCCTGGGCTGAAGAGGCAAGGTGTACCTGGGGCATGCTCTTCTCATAGGATGTCACAGGGACACAACAAGGTGAGCCAAACACAAGAGGGCATTTCAAGTCAGCACTTTGCTGGACAAAATGAGTCATGCAGCCAGGGTCAATAGCCATGATATGGGAAGAATTAATTACCCACAGTGGGAGTCACCCTAAAGTCACACTTACAGGAAAGTGACTTTCAGGGAAAGAAACCAATCTACCACCTCTTTTGGACGGCTTTGGTTTCTCCTTTGTTAAAATAAAGGCATTACTGGGTGCGGTAGCGCCCGCCTGCAATCCCGATAGCTAAGGAGACTGAGGCAGGAGGAGCAGAGATTCAAAGCCAGCCTCAGCAATAGCAAGGCCCTAAGCAACTCAGTGAGACCCTGTCTCTAAATAAAATATTAAAAAAGGAACCTGGGGATGTGGCTCAGTGGTTAAGACCCATGGGGGGTTCAATCCTCAGTACCAATAAATAAATCAAATAATGGTGTTGAATCAGTTCCCCCCAAACCAATCCCAGCTCTACCATCTTATAATTCTAACATGAGTGTGTTTGTGTATTCATTCAACAAACATTTCTTCACCACTGTGCCCTAGGTAGATGTTGGGGACAAAAACATAACTAAGAGGTGTTTCCTGCCCTTGGAAAGCTCACCACCAATGGCAGAGAAAGACAAGCAGAAGTTGGATGTAGATCAGGTGCTCAAAACTGCATGAGCCCAGGCAGGTAGACAGAGGAGACGCCATCTCTCTCTTGTGAGTCAGGCCTGCTGCTCCTTCCTCACTATCCTCCAGCCTAGAGTCGGTGGCCAAGCGCAGCGGCTGCCCTCGGTTGTTAATAAGGTATTACAGGAACCTGGCCACGCCCACCCATTACCTACACCTAAGGCTCCAGGGCAGGGTTCAACAGACAGTCAGCTTACAAAACAAAAGAGAAAGAAAATCCAGACACAGAGGACGTCTAAGCTGCTTCCCAGCCAGCCCTGCCCTGTGCAGGATTGCCAGCCGGCACGCCAGGCTTCCAGCCCCTCTGAGACGCCAGCTTATTCCCGGTTCTGAGCCTTGGCAGAACCCATTCCTTAACCTAGAGGTTCTCCTTGTCCTTCAATAGCTGCCTCCTCCTCACCCCATCCCCCAGGGCTCTGCTTAGAGGCTCTGCCTTCAGAGAGGGATCTGGGGATCCTTCAGCCTCCAGTGACCCGGTGTTCAACCTAGCAGCACCCTACTCTTTGCCCTGCCAGGGCCAATTCCTGTTACATAGTTCATCGTGTGCTGTAATTTCACAAAACCCATCTACTGCCAGAGCACACAGATGCTGTGGATGAAGACAGGAACTGTCTGCTGAAGTCCCAGTGGCTGGCTCTCATCCAGCACATGCTTCGTTCAAGGAACGAAGACCCTGAGCATCACCCTTAACAGAGATTAAAACCTCAAAGTCCTGGAGGAGGGCGTTACATTATGTTTGCTAAACATTTCCACTTCCCCACCCTGCACTGCTCCTCCCAAATGCCCTGATGTATTCTGGAGTGGCTGAGTAGCCTGCTTTGTCCAATGAGATATGGCAGAAATATGGCCACGAGGCATCTCCAAGCAGAAGCATCAGGAGCCAGTACTTTCCCCCTGAGCCACAGTGACTATGGCCAGGTAGAGGCAGCCCCATCAGCTTGGGCTCCAGAGTATAGACCACCAACCCATGATAGAGAAGGACTGTGAGTGAGAAATAAACCTTTGGAGTTATTTAGGCACTGAGGGTTATGGGGTCATTTGTTTCTGCAGCACAGTCTCACTCATCCTGACTAATACAGTCACCTAAGACTCAGAATGAAGATTCCTCATATAGGAAGCTCTGTAGCAAGTTCACAGTGAAACGAGCATTCATCATAGTAACCCAGGCCTCAAACTCACCCATATCTTTGAACGGAATGAGCACAAAGGTGCTGTTGGTGATTTTGTATTTGGTCAGCAAGATAGGGAGGAGGACCAGCATAAAGATGATCAGAAATATCACCAAATTCAGCAACACCAGGAACCGCAAGAAGGAAAAATAGGACTGAATTCCAGTGCCAAATTTCCCTGGGGAAAAAAAAAAGAAATTTGGACATTATTCATCAGGAGTATTGACCTATTACACACAGGAGATTCAATCACCCAGACAAAGCTGAAGATGGAGGAGTCTTGGCGGGGCACAGAGGGAAAGAATGTCTTATTCTCCGGCTGCCTTTCAAGCTCTAATTTCCAGTGTTTGCGTTACTCACATACAGACCTACTCCCAACCTTGAACCAAACACTTAGGAACCCTGTAAAGATGGGGAAGAGCGCCCTGTCTTTTCCTATGTGAATATCTGGTTGACTCAACATCACCGACGGATGCCCCCACTTTTAGAAATCAGTTCACTATATACGCACGTACATTTTTCTGAACTCTGTCCTGTTCCACGGGTCTATCCTTACCTCAAATACCAGACTGTCTTAATTGTGGCACATTTATAGTAAGACTCCGCGTGTGGAACGGGGCATCTTTCAGCTTGTTCTTCCTTATGACAGCCCTAGGTCTGTATCCTTGACATTTTGCATTTCAATATAAATTTCAGATCAATGCTTTCTTTTCACCTGCTGGGATGATCGTAGTTTCTCCCCTTTATTCTTTTCCACACACACACTCCCACTCCCACACACTGCTGAGATGACATGAAATACAGAGGTCAGTTTGAGGAGAAGTAATATGGAATCGTCTGCTCCATGAACATGGTATATAGGTTTTCTTTAATTTCTCTCAATAATATAAATTGTTTTCTGCACATAATTACTATACTCCTTTCTTTAGATATGTTTATAGATATGACTTTGGGTGCTATTATAAATTACATTACTAAAATTCTTTTTCTAAATATTTTTGCTGGTATCTAGAAATACAATTTAATATAATTAATTGATTCAACTGATTTTATATACAAAGCATGCTAAATTAACAACCTTGCTAAATGCACAGGTCAAGGCTAATAAGTGTGAAGTCTGATAATGGCTTTCTTACTTTCTATATCCATACCACGTCACCTGCCAAAAAAGGATGGTGTTTTATTTCTTCTTTTCCAATTATTATCCCTTTGAACCCCATTGTGCTGAACCGGGTAGGACACTATGGATGATGCTGAGTAGAATCTGGGGTCATGAGCACCTTTCCTTCATTCTCAATCTCAAGGGGGCAAGTTTTTTGATATTTCATTAAATCTGGTATCTGCTGTCGAATTCCCATAGACTTTAAAAAAAACAGATTACGAAAGGCCTCATGTCATTCTCATTTGGTTAGAATGAGAAGTGAGGTGGGTGGATGCTTTTCCTGCCTCTGTTGGGATGAGCATGATTTTCTTCTCTCTTCCTGCGTCAATCACACTGACTGAGTCTCCTACCAGGTACACGGCTGAGCATCCGGAGTGAGCATGCTTGTTCTTGGTGGGGGCAAAGAACTTAACCTCCGGAGACTAAAGGTACATGACACAAGCTCTGCCTCCCACGCCCAGCGACCTTGTCAGAGGAAATGAGTGACACCTTCGATCCCTGCCAAAGGAGCACCCAGCCAGCCAAGGACGTCAGGAGAAGAAGAGCAACAGGAGAAAATCAAAGTCCCAGTTCCCAGGGAGAAGCTACCCTCTAGCACCACGTCATTTCCTGACGGAGCTGACGCCAGGCTGTGTGAAGCCTGACTGCAGAGCCCAAAGCCCAGCCCTGAATCAGCCAGGCTGGGCGAGTTGGCACAAGTACCCTGACTCCTCGGAGCCAAGCAAGTGATGCATACCTCTACGAAGGGTGACTGTGAGCACTGGGATCAGATGAGTAAACGTGTAACACCACACCTGGTTCATAGAGACCAACAAAGACTAGCTTCTATGATCGCCTTCCAAACAAACGACGCTTAAGTCTCAAAGAGAAAAAAGTGCAGAGTGTGCGGTTAAAGTTTTAAGGGAACCTAGGAAGCCTCCTTTATGGCTCGCACCTGTCATCCCAGCAACAGGGGAGGCGGAGGCAGGAGGATCACAAGTTTGAGGCCAGCCTCAGCAACTTAATGAGGCCCCTAAGCAACTTAGTGACACTCTGTCTCAAAATCAAATATAAAAAAGGGGCTAGGGATGTGTCTCAGTGGTAAAGGGACCCTGGGTTCCATCCCAGTACAAAAATCAATCAATCAATCAACGAAAGGTAATATATTACCAAAGGTAAAAGATCACCAATTGTTAGATTTTTTTAATAGGAATAACGGAAGCGATCAATGCTTCCATACTTACCCTGCCACGTTTCTCATGAACACCTTTACAAAGTTTCCGCCTTAGCAGTGTGAGCTGGTGCTTGTACATCGTTGCGGGTTTTGGTAGAAACTATGTGACCCTAAGAGGCCCCACCCCCACAACTTGCCTAAGTCACCCAGATAGTGAATATTTCCAATTTCATATTTTGGCATAACTTCCCATTTTTGTGCACTGAATATTCCCCTATTATCCCCCCCCACTTCCAATTTTCCTATACTGGAACCCCAGCCCCTCAAGGTCATGGTGTTGGAGGTGGCTCCTGAGGAGGTGATTAAGGTGCCCTTGTATGGAGAAGCACCAGGGAGCTCCTGCTGGTCCCTTCCAGGGTCTCCCAGCCTCTCCAACATCCACAGAGTCAGATGGGCACTTAGCAAGGCTTGTCCAGCTTCTAGAACTCTAAGGAAAAACATTCCTCTTTCTTCTTTTGTCTTTCTTTTATTTGTATTCATTCATTCATTCACTCACTCGCTCATTCATTCATTCATTCATTTAAGACAAGGTCTCACTAAGTTGCTGAGACTGGCCTCCAACTTCCTATCCTTCTGTCTCAGCCTCCAGTGCCACTGGAATTACCGGTGTGTGCCAAGGCGCCCGGCTGGAAATTAATATCTATGAAGCCCCCCTCCCTCTACGGTACCCTGTGACCGTAACCTGTGCCCCCTATTCTCCCCATCAGGGGGAAGCTGCGGTTCCTAGGGTTTCCATAGCCACCGCCTCCGACCCCTGTCCCTCAGTACTGCTTAGAAATGAATAAAAATGCAGACACTCAGTTCGGTGACACCAAGCAACACATCTGGGCTGCAATGAGAGGAACGTCCTGAGCATCTCCATTAGCACAGCAGATACCCAGGCCACTCAGGAGCAGGGGCCCCTGTGCTTCTCCCGGTGCCACTGGCCCCTGCTGAGCCCAAGCGTGGCTTGCTGCTCACGTCTGCCGCAGGAGGAAAAGCTCCCTGTCTGCTGAGGCTGGGGAGAGCGAGGCCGGCCGCCCCCAGCCCCCGGCACCTGCATCGGGACCGACTGTGCGGAGCGCAGGTACCTTCTATGCTGCGGATGTCCTGGCGCCACAGCTCCAGGTGGGTGGTCATCTCGCGCGCCTTCTCCAGGAACCGCTTCCAGGACTTGCTGCTGTACTGCTTCCACTGGTCCCACTCAGACAGGTACTTCATCTGGGTCTCCTGAATGTCCCTGCATGTAAAAACAAAAAAAAAATGACCATGACAATGACAGCAGCGACAGCGTCAGATCTCGGCATCCGCATAGAGGAGAGCTCCAGCAGAAGGTCTTCATGATCAGCTGCTGGGCATGGACCCTATGGGAGCCAGTTGGCTGTTCCTCCAAATGTTAAACAGACTTATCATAGGAGCCGGAATTCCACTTCTACCAATGATCCCAGAATAAATGAAAAGAGGGTTCTCACGTAAAACACTAACTCTGAATGTGCACAGTAGCATTATTCAGAGCCAAAAGATGGAAACAACCCAAATGTCCATGAATGGAAAAACAGATAAACAAAAAGTAGTCTGTCTCTATGGGGTGGAATATTACTCAGCCATGAAAAAAACGAAGTACTGATACCTGATAGAACTTGAAAGGACTCCAAACAAAAGGCCACTTGCTGTATGTTTCCATTTACATGGAATGTTTAGAACTGGCAGATTTATGGACACAGAAAGCAGGTTCCCAGTTGCCCAGGATTGGGGAGAGGGGAAGAGGATATGGCTGTTTAAAAGGTACAGAGTTTCCCACTAGGTTGGAGAAACCATTTCTGGGAGTGGACAACCATGACGGCTGCACAACACTCTCAACACACTTAGCGTCACAGAGTTAGGCACTGTCGGTGATTTAAATGGTCAGTGCTATGGGATGTGCACTTTACCACAATGACATCCACGTGACGGCTACTCTGCACCAGTAAAGTGACTCTACAGAGCCACATCTGACCTGTTCCCCCACCTCAGTAAGTCAGGCTCCCCATCTTCCCACTCAGGACCCCCTTCTTTTCAAGCCGCATCCTCCTCGGTGGTACAGAAGTTCAATGTCCATCTCCCCCTCTACACCGCAAGCTCTTTAAAGGTCAAGAATATGTGGGATTTGTGGTTGTGGCCTCTGTGCCTGGTACACAGAAGATTCTGTGAAAAAAATCCTGCCCGGGGCCTGCTTTGCTGGACACTCTATCCCCAGCACCTAGCATGGCACCTGGCACTTAGTAGGTGCTCGTTAAGTAGGTGTACCCTGATGAGCACAGAGTCCAGAGTCTCCGGATTAAAAACATGCACTGCTCCTGATTCCACGGGAAGCAAACCGCTTTCCCGTGAGGGTGGATGACATTCAGGTGCATAGACAGACAGACAGACAGATCAGAGATATAGTCTAGTTTATGTCCCATCACCTCCTTACGGGGAGCCTCCAGGCCCCTCTGTCCTACCCGTGGTCTCTCCCTCGATTTCCTGACCCTGCCCTCGGGGTCTTGGTATGTCCTGCTGTTAAAACCAGTCTCGCCATCAGTCCCTCCGTCAGTGTCCTTGGGAGTCAGGCACCAGCTGAGCCGCTACCAGCTGCTCAACCCGCATGGCTGACAGTCCCTCGCCAGGGAGCCGTCCTGCGCACAGGAGGAGGCTTGGTGACATTCCCACTCTCTTACTGCCTCGATGCCAGCAGCTCATCCCTCCGTGTGACAACTAAATCCATCGCCACACATTGTCAAATGCCCTCCGGGGCCCTGGGGACAGGATGAGTGGTTAATGACTCATGCACCACATCGAGCCTCGAGCGGTGACTGCCTTTTGCAGTTTTAAATGGTTAAAAAAAATTTAAAAGATGTTAAAACATGAACATGGGGAAAGCACATGACATGCACAATTCTGTGCCGGTAAATGCAGGGCTGCAGGGGCCCAGCCGCGCTGGTCACTAGGAATTATCTGCTGTCCTGCTGCAAAAGCAGAGCCCAGGGATGTGACAGAGGCCACGTGGGGCCCCGCGGCTGCCACGTGATCTTAGCCTTTGCAGACAATGTCCGAGGTCCCACAACCACGGCTCCCTGGGGAGATGTGCAGGAGGAGCCCAAGGCCAAGGTGGTGGAGGGGCAGGGGAAAGAGGGAAAGAGGGTGCCCAAGGCCGGCAGGGGAGAGGGGGGCGGGGAGGAGTGTGGGGAAGCATCCTTGAGCGGCACAACCAGTGACTGGCTTATCCCCAAGCATGTGGCACCCGCCTCCACCCTCCCTTCAGTCCGTCCTCCTCCATCAGACAGGGGACTCCTTCCTCCAACCAGCCTCCAGTGCCTGATGTGTGGCTGGGTTGATAAAGTGCCAACCCCTCCACTAGCAGTTCCGACTGGGGGCAATTTTCCCCACCCCAGGGCACATCAGGCCATATCTGGGGACACCCTTGACTGTCCCAACCTCTGGGGGGAAGATGCTCTTGGCATCAGCAGGTAGAGGCCAGGGATGTGGCTTCATGAGACAAGGCAGAGCCCACAAGTCACCTGTCCCCGCAGGTGGATGACCAACAGTGCAGAGGCTGAGAAACCCAGGCTGGGGGCAGGTCAGAGGGAACCAGGGGCCCGGACGGCACTGCTGGGTTGTGCACAGGAGCTAGCAGCTCTGGGGTTATCATTTCTGCCGTCCTGTGTCCTGTCGTCGCCAAGTTCTAGGGTTCACTGTGAATCAGTCAGACCTGCCCTCAGGTTCTATCAGTGCCACTTCTATAACCAGCTCGGGAATTTCTGGGCAGAAGGAAATGCAATTTCAACAGTGGCACACACCTGTCATCCTGTCATCCCAGCGGCTGGGGAGGCTGAGGCAGGAGGCTCGCGAGTTCAAAGCCAGCCTCAGCAAAAGCGAGGCACTCAGCAACTCAGTGAGACCCTGTCTCTAAATAAAATACAAAATAGGGCTGGGGATGGGGCTCAGGGGTGGAGTGCCCCTGAGTTCAATCTCAGGTTATTAAAAAAAAAAAAAAGGAAAGAAAAATAGAAAATGTGTTTCCTTCTTGGATGTGGAGAGGTTTGTCATATAGCAGAGGTATTTTACAAGAATTCAAAATCCATCAGTCTGAAATAGTGGGAAATAAAGGATACTCGTAAAGTCTGGCTTTATTCCCATGTTTTTGAATGCATATGACAACCTACCCCCATATTCAAAATCAGAGACCTGGGGGTACGGCTCAGTGCAGAGCACTCGCCTAGCGTGCATGACCCTGGGTTCCATGCCCAACACCTAAATAAATAAAAAGAAAAGAAAAGAAAAACCACCACAGGTTTGTAAAGCTACAAGGGAAGGTGTGGCGCCATGCACTATGTCCATGCTACGGCCCCGGGCAACCTCAGATCAAGCGTTAGGCAGAAATACCACTTCAGCCACTGTGTCAGGCCAATGGGAAAAATCAGGCTTTGAATTCTGCAGGAATGGCAGGGATGGCAGACTACAAAGTCCTCCTCTCAGCCAGGCCTGGTGGCACAGGCTCGGAAACCCAGCTGTCAAGAGGCTGAGGCAGGAGGATCGCAAATTCAAGGCCAGGCTTAGCAACTTAAGGAGACCCTGTCTCAAAATAAAACAAGCTGGGGATGTGGTCAGGGGTAGAGCATCCCTGAGCTCAATCCCCAGGACTGAGGAGGAGCAGGAGGAGGGGGAGGAGCAGGAGGAGCAGGAGGAGGGGGAAGGAGCATCAGGAGCAGGAGGAGGAGGAACATCAGGAGCAGGAGGAGAAGGAGGAAGAGGAGGAAGAAGAGGAGGAGGAAAAGGAGGAGGAGGAGGAGGAAAACTTCTCATACTCCTCTGGAGGTCACATACTGTGCTTAAGGTTTCAATGTCAGTTTCTCCCCAAGTTTAAAGACTTGGCTACAGGAAATATGTCATCTTTGCCATATTTTCATGTCTTGGAATCATCAGACTTTGGGTTACTAGGAGGATCAAGAGTCCCAAGTGCCATTACTCTCAGGGACTGAG